TAAAAGATACTTCGTGGCTGCCTGAAGGATTAGGTCGTTTTCCTACTGATCGTCATTTCTGCATGTGCACTGTCCGATCTACTACACTGGTCGTCCAAAGCTTTAACCGCAATCTTGCATTCAATGAATCAACAGCAGTAGCACAATAATTTTTTCAGAACTACTGGGCCTATATGTGCTTGAATCTGTTCTTTTTCTGCTTCTTTTTGAGTTATTACTTACCAACAGCTTTTGTTCCCTTATTCCCCATTCTTGTCCCGGAAAGGCAAGACTAAGTAGTTCCGCTGATCCATCATCATTACTAAGCCGACACATTGGCTCACAGCAGATGACACTCCGACCGTCAGTATACAATAAGTTTCTGTTCAGTTTTTCCCAATATTGCACCTTCGTTAAAATTCAGGTACACAAGAGTGAAGGCGTGGCTTACATTAACAGTGCCTTCACAGTGTTCTAGATATAACTTGATACCTGTCGTATGCACTCCTATTCCGTAAGCGGTATTGAGTGGTTTCTATTCTGAACAACATCTGAAGTCACTCACTGCTGTGCCCATCCGCAAACTTTCCCCGGTCAGGTTGCATCCTAATGTCCATGAGTTTCTCCAAGTTGTTAGGTAGTAGACACTAACTACAACTAAAAGTAGCCAGCCATGTGATGGATATCTGACTGAGTCTAGATGTGATGATTCTCTACCTATTCCACCAGTAGCGCCTGCGCTCTACATCATTCGATCCAGTGGTTATCCGCACGAATCAACAAACCCAAGCGGACCTTGCGTGATTCCCGGTTAGTGACCTTTCTGGCTCCTTCAACATTGAAGAGTGCCACTCGGCATAACCCATTAGATCATTGAGGCACGCCAATCGTTGCACATTGCTAGGGCTTTCAGCATGGGCGCGGTTGTACTCGATTGTTCAGCCGCTGTTCACCATATCGACGAACCCTTGTCACTTTCCAACTATCAAGATTCTCCCTTTCTACCTCGAGCTCGTTAACGTCCTCTTTGCTCCTTAGTGTAATGCGCCATCAACCGCGTTGTGGGGGACTAGTGTACGGCAGCTAAAACTGCTTACCAAACTGCAAAAGTGCCAAAGACCCGTCTGGAGCTACTATCCTAACATCAAAAGAGCAGATTATTAGTCGGATTGAATGGATGTGCACCTAGAACGGTATAGCTAACTTTTATTCCTTCGACATAACATAATGCAAATTTTCTGATTCATGTCTCCAAGTTCACGCAAAGCATTTGTTTTTCTTGAAATCACTGCTTTCTAACAGGAGATTTTCATGCAGCCTCTCTTGAGTTGCTGACTCACAGAACGTCAAGCCTTAGTCATTAAGGCACAATCCTCATCCAACCTGCTTCTAAATTGCTCACAGATATCATGGTCTTGCTAATCGCTCATCCCCAAGAGTAACTAATCAAAACAAGCCGTAGATGTTAATCATATCTTTATACCATCAAGTGCCAAAACGTGCCAGACAACGACGGCCTACTATTGTCGTTCTTTAGATTTGTAGGGCGTGTTTCATTCAGTTGATCACAACCGTTTTTGACTTTTTGCGCTGCTGGAGAATGCGCCATGGAGACTCCCTTATTAAGTACTATCTCTAATTGTATTTCGAGAAGCTTTCTCCTGCGCTCACCATGTCCACTAAGGTGTATCAAGGCTGTCCTGCCGACTCTGTGACCGATCTAGACACCTTGGTTAATCCTGTCAGAGTGAAAACTCAGCTCGTTTAATCTGCTGTTCAACTTTTGTAACACGTGCAATCCACCCCCAGTGTTTGCGCGAAACCTTACCGATCTGCCTGACATAATGAGTCATGCGCTTCGCCACACAAACCACATCGCTACGGAATTCATGCAACGAACCATTATTGTTCACTATTCCGAACAATCGATTCAGTCGGTTCACCCACACATTTTGTTATATCACCTGTAGTCGTTACTTTGTCCAATGCTATTAATTACTACACTCGTCGAAAAGTCAGTGTGGCTTTTCATCTTTGGAGGCAGTGGTTTTTGTTGCGTATCGGTCGGTGGCAAGATGTACAAAAGGTGTGGCTATTGTGTAGGCCCGCGATATGACCATTTTACGCCAAAGAAATAGAGAAGCTCCTTGCCTTTGAACAAATGTACTTGTACATCACCGCACCAAGTGAATACTCCCGAGGTTCGTGAGACGATTCCTGGCAACATTCTCTCTTGAACTGCATCGGGTTCTTTACATTCGCTGAGTGGACTGCGCTTCTCTTTTACCTACCGTACACTTGCTCCGATTACAGTTTTCTCTGTGTCTGGTCTGATGAAGCCACACGATCACCGGTAGCTTACACCGCCAATGGGCACGAGATGTTCAGCTGAACTTTTAAACTGAGTTATTACATACTGTTTTATTAATGAAAGGATCGGAAATGGCCATACCACTTATGAGGTCGGTAGAACCGTTGCATCCAATCACATTTTTCACTCCAACGATTAAGTTTTTCAACTCATTTCCCATTGAGCTTTTTGTTTGTCTAATCATTTTAATTACCTTTAAATTCTATCGTCATTCTGCGCCATTCGAGATAGCCAGACGCATTCCATTCCAGCGCGCGGATGCTAACTGCTTGTTTGAGTTCCGCAAGTTTGTACTTCTCTTGATCTTGTTGTTTACGCCCGCTCTTCGGTCAGTGCCTACAGTTTTGTTTGGCCTGTATAACTTACCCGAGAGAGCATAACATCATAATGGCAGCTTCGAACACTGTGTTGGGCCTAAGTGCTTCCGTTGGTTCCACCTCTCTCCTTATTATTAGGCCGGTGCGTGACTATACTCAGTTATGCTGAGTGGAATGGTCGATGATTTTGTCATTTGTTATCCCTACGGCTTAGTATCCACTGTCTCCTGACTGAGTTTGGTGCAGGGTGTTGGATGACTCCCCGGGATTAACTCGGTAACCGGTGTTCAGTAAGGGCTTTAAGCTTGCCGATGCAGCTCGATTTCGCAGTCACCGATCCAACCTAGCTGTATGACCACTTTATAACGTGCTCATTGATTCTGACGCCTCAGGTTGGTATGCTTTTACGCGATTTTCGGCCCTGCTGGAGCGCAGGGGTCTGCTTTGCGTTTGGTTCGGTTTCGCAGTTAGCCCGATAAGAAGAGCAATCACAGGTTCCCTTGTTCTCACTCATTGAGCAGCGTAACACTTATCCACGTTGTCATGCACAACAACATATCAACCCCAAACTACAGGCTTCCTGTATAAGGGAACGCTGATTGAAATGTCAAGCGCCCAATCAACCAGAAACTCCGCAGTTAAAACCGTGTACAGGGATAATAAGCCTGTGTCACTCGGATCGTTTGCACAGTATGCTTTCGGTTGCTCGGGATATGCAGAGAAAGCAGCGTGAGATCCCTTTCAAAATGCGCCATTTAAGTCTGACAGCGCTGGTGAAAACATGAGCTCGCTGTTCTTGAGGCTCCACAACGAAGGCAACAAAATGGTCAAGGTATCGGTTTATCTTCCCTACCAACTTAAACTACAGCGAGCTCTATAGTATGCAGGTGACCTTACAACGGTGTATCAAATCCACAAGGACCCCAACCACGTGACGTATTAAAACTCAACGGCAATACCTCCCTGAACGGTACTCATTCAAAACTGGCCACAGCTTGTAACCATTTGGAATGCAGCCTGAATTTTCCTCTTGTGTGCCAGTCATGGAGCGCCTTTCCGATTTCTGTTACTTCCGCTGCTGCATTGTCCGAATTCAAATCGCAAGTTGAAGATGCATTACTTGGCCCACATCACATGATTCGGTCAAAGATTTTGGGCCACGGCATAGCGTAGCCAAGCGTTGTGCGCATGTGAACCTTACGATTAGTTTACCAACTCGAGTTATTTCTCTGACAGGTTTATTTTTATTTTTACTATTCATCTACGGGACTATGTAAGCATTCGTTTTTCAACAACACTAAATCCAGTGATCCAACTTCCGATGTATTTCTAGTTTGACCTCAGTTATTGTCCCCCACATTGCATCACTCGGCTATGGCGTTCACTGTTAGCGTTTTCTGTGTAAGCAGCTCCGGAAGTGAACCTTTGGTTAGCCAGACGCACAGTTACTTTCATTTGCTCGTGTCTCTTGGACGGCACGCGCTCATCCGGGAAGTCCGTGTAGCGCCTGGTATTTTCGTTATCACATACTGAGCCCCGATTCGCAGGTCAGGCAGTCGATTTGTGCAAGTGTCGCATCAAGAAAATGCGTGGGATTCATCCGGCCACCACAGCGAATACCGTGTGTGATGGCCCCCAACCTGATCCTCATATCCGGCTTCCATTGTTCTGATGTAGAGACAGCTGGAGCTCGGAGTCACAACCAGGACTAGTTGACTACCGAATGGCATCTTTCGTGCTATGCACAATCCTCATATCTTTTAGCAGAGTTCATTGCGGCTTTAATTGAAATTCCGTTTCACAACCCAAACGCGATAGGTATTCTTAAGAAGCACTTCGATTAATTCGATAGGCCTGCTACCGACTGTGGATTGGTTCAAACCAGGTGTACCTTGGCTTTTTGTTCCAGAGTGAATTTGTGTAGATCCTAGTGTTATACGTGCTACTGCATTCCTTTCCAAAAATTCCACAAGCCTATCATGATTGCGCAGTGGTGACGCACCACTGCTCACCGACTCAGTCGCCTGGTAGCAGAGTTCGTGTCTGTGCATCAAATGGTTGCTAATTCCCAGTCACCCATACTCAAATGTTCAAAAAATTAAATCCACTACTCATACTCTCAGAGCACTAAGTGCAGGTCCCCGGGCTTGTGTCATGGGACTTATCATCACTACTTACATTCTTAATCATTAAAGCGTCAACTTGCTCATCTTTATACCAGGCAACGAATTGTTATATCTTCGATTTATAACCCGGTTATTTTGTCACTGCTGAAGGACGCTTCAATTCTGGACTGAAACTAAATATGTTCTACCTCCAATCCACCCCAACAGACACCGAAAGCCTACGGACCTACGGCTTGATCTGGTTCTCTTACGTTCTCATATTCTCAGGGCTGGAATCCGCACTTATTTTCCTCACTCGGTCACGATTTGGCTACACCAGGTAAGAGGGACATTTACACACCTGTGTGTGTCTTACTTGACATTGGAACTAGACACGCAGCAGTTGTTTGAGCTTCTGACGACTCAAATTGCAGTGTCACAGTGTAGTATCAACATCTGGGGTTGTACCTCTTGTCTATCAACGTGTGTATACTTTTGTTGTGTCACTGAATTGTGGTTGTACCCTAGGGCAACCTACTTCAATTCACCGACTATGGTACATGCACCAATTGTCTTACCCCACGTTGCTAAAATGAGGATAATCTCCCTTACTATGATAAATTTTAAAGAAAGGATAAGGGTTACAGTTATCGTCTGGGATAGTTCAGCGTTCCGCGAGGGAACGAATGTTCACAACACCACCGACGTCATGACTGTCCATGAAGACCACAAGCACCAACTGTACTCGGTGTAAGCAACAAATTCGCTTGGGGCGCCAGTAACTCGTAAAATTCCGGGATCAAACTAAAACGAGCTTAAAGCAGTTGGTTCCCTTTAATAATTTGAATAACACAGAGAGAAGACGAATATTTGTAGATGCACACATTTCGTATCATCTCGTCAGTACCATTAAAACGAGGTTATAAGTTAACTAAGGCCTTGTTTTGGTTTGACCCTGGAGTTTTATGCTCCAGATCCAAGCGAATTTGTCGCTTACAGTATTCAACAATACCCGTTCAGTACTGAAACAACTGTTTTTGCAAGGTACACATGGAATGCTGGCCCGCCGAATAGCCTCCACGTGGTGTTAACTCGGTGGTTCACGTTAATCTCGTTCCAGCGAATGGTTCGGCAACAGTGTTCCAGGACGTGGTGGGTTTACGCCCGGTACACGTTCTCCCTATAAAAGCCACAAATGCCTGTTTAACAACACTGCGATGTGGCGAATATGACTCACCACTAACTAAAGTCACTGCGTCTGACGTAACTGGATGATCTTATCCAATCCACGTACGTGTCCTTCAATACGAAGATTTCATTTCATCCCTTCCCACGTTGACGACCTGACAGCAATCCATCACAAACACGGTGTAACACAAACAAATTCAAGCAACGCTGCCACACACATTCTTACTTGTATATATCCATATGCACGTATTACCTGAATCTACGTGCTACCTATAAACATACCGTTATTTACATTTAGCAGTTCTTAGTGTTTGTGTTACCATGATCATGTCTTTGTAAGCGTGTCTCGCACTGTCGAGAATAAAACGTTTATTTATTTATATATTGAATCACCTTACTTGTCATTGTAGATTAAGATCACGAAACCCAGCGGCCTTTTCTTGGGGTAGAGTTGATTGTAGTGTGTCTCGGGACAAATGTGGCGTGAAGGGAACATCTGGCGGATTTGCTCCTGAAACGAGTACAAATTAATCTCGGCATGTGTTTGACCCCCGAGGCAAGTTGTACAACATGGGAACGAGCAATTGTGACAGTTAGGGTTGGAATGAAGCCATGGGAGCGTAGAATAGGGAGACATAGAAGGCTTGCCAAGCAGCTGGTAGGCCGGAGTTTGGCAGGTTGTGGTGCTTTACTAATGAGTTGTATGGTGAAACGAGCGGGCGCGATGAACTCAGCGAATAATGGCTCACCGCGGACTACGAGCGCGTAGTGCGCAATTTGGCCAGCCCTGAATATGGATGGCGCTGGAGCGTGGAACCTATACCTCACTGTCACGGCAAGCTGAGTCGATAGCACAAGGCGCAGCGTGGAATCAAATGGCACCACGAATGATGTACGCAAATGCGTCCGACGTTCCTATGTTAGAAAAGTTTTGCCACGCATAGTCTCGTTCTTCAATACACAACTCATTCGCACCGCATCGCTTTTTCCACATTGGGTGCCGTGGCCAGCCGGAGACGGAAGGATCCCGTGGCCGGAGCCATTTGAGGGTGGGGTTAGTCGGAGTCTCCTGGTGGACTTCAAAGATTTCGCAGAAGCATGAGCGGCGGAAGCTGGTTTCGCTTCGTAGTCTACTCAAGGAACGAGCGAAGTTGACCATGGAGGCGGCAAGTAGAGGCCCAGTCAAGTTAGGATGGTCCGCCGCGAACGAGGTGCTTATCACGGGGTTGGACAGTCTGGCCGACCGCCAGGATGCGATGCGACGATTCAAGGCGGCCCGCCTTGGGCTAGGAGTGAATGCAGTCGTGGTTGCGATCCATCTCGGCGGCTTGTTGGATCGGGCGCTGCCAGGCTTGTACGATGCGTCAAGACAGCAACTATTAGTGAAGCAGCTTCTTGACGATCTCCCTCCAATAATGGCGGATCGATTGCGCATTGTGGACGCTAACCAGAAGACGGTTGTTGTGGAATTTGCTCGTGTGGCAAGTGCGTTGTTACAGGAACCAGCGGCAGAATTGAGAATCGGGCCAAAAAGACAACGATCGATTAGCTCGGTTAAAAGAAAAGTTTGCGCATATTACGCAAGATATCGAAGCACTTCAAAGTACCCGTCAGAGTACGCGGCATAAGGGGCTATGCTTTTTTGTTGGAAACTGGAACACTGGAAGCGGTAATACCCGTCAAGGCGCACTACATTCTTTGTACCAAATAAAAATTACCAACAGTATTCTCGTGTTGGAAAGTGCATACTTTGGCCCCTTAACAAAGGTGCGATGGTTGAGGTAAATGAATCAACAGAGAGGTGTTTGATCGATACAGGAGCCGCAGTCTTCCCAAGATGATGTGAAAACCCAATCGTGTTCCATGGTGGTGAAGGCGGTCGATGGTTACAATATACGTATAAATGGTATGGCGGAGCACGTGGTTGGTCTCGCGAGTCATAAATTCGAGCATCTCTTCGTCGTGTCGCCGGACGCGAAACAGACCATTCTTAGAGCAGACTTTCTCCAAGCCAATGTGGCTATCCTCGACCTGAAACGAGGAAAGCTGAGGACGAAATACGGATCTATACCCCACGATAGTAGAAAAGCATCCACGCGAGCGTGCTCAGTCGTTGCCGTTTTACACACTAGTACGGCCCTGCATTCGCTTGTCGGCAAATACAAACCTCTTCACGGACGAAAACAGCCCCTACGGGTTTTGTGGTTGACTCGAATACACAATTCCGCTTTCGCGGCAACTTTATTGGTCGTATAGACCCAGAAGGATACCAATCCACCTGAAGGTCAAGGCCGAAAGGCAGCTTCAGGAGATGCTGAATGCTGGTCTAATTGGGGAGGCTCAGAATCCGTATAACTTCGCAATCGTTTTGTTGATGAAGGCCAAGGGAAAATACTGCTTTTGCGTGGATTTCGGAAGGTTGAACGAAACCTCGCTGAGTCTTTTTGTCCCGGTGCCATCAGTCGCAGACATCTTCGACAAGCTGAAGAATTCAAAGATATTCACGGTACTGGATTTGTGATCTGGTTACTGGCAGCTGGCGATCAAACAGGAGCACCGGGAGAGGACTGCGTTTATATTTGGCGAGAAGCAGTGTCTCAATGATTTTGATTTGATATACACAAGACTGCCTCACGAAACAAGCTGGCAACCTACTACACTCATGTCCTCAATGTGTAACCAACCGAAGCTACAGTCGGAGGATGGCCCAATGGTGCGCCGCCATTTTAACTATATCCGACCACTGTCAAACGAACCACATGAGCGGGATCGAAAAGCGACTGCTACTGACCCAAAAACGGACGGAGACTCTGCCTCACAAAACCAGGAACCACAAACGGATGCGGAACAACCACCATTAAGACGCTCAAAACGCACTCCTAAGCCAGTTGACCGGTAAAAACCCGGAGTCTGCACACTTGATCAGGGAAGAGGGGTGTCACGTATAATTCGTAAACACAGGCGCTGACATGATTGGTTGACAATGACCTTGCCTTACCTTCCTTATTTCATTGGTTTTTCATTCCGGCTTTTAGTAAAATCGTTCCATTCTACGCGTGCCCGTTCTGTTCCGTTCATCGACTAAGAGCCAAACTTAACCAACTCCAGGTCATCGTACTGCCTGATCCATACACAAGTGTACACTTTATACCGATTCATCTGAGAGTAACACAAAGAGCTCGTGATTCATACACCTACAAATGTTTAGGCCACTTGAAAGGGACGAAAAACAAGACTGCGATTTGTTTGCAGAAAGAACTACAATTAATGTGTCCCGCAACTAAATGAGTCACTTATGGACTAAATCTCTTCTATCCATTCACTTGGCACCTCTCGGAATGCGGACATTTGCCTCGTAGTCTTGCGGTCGAGAACACATCACGACTAATTCTGATGTTCACTAATCTCTAATTTGCGTGTATTCCGCGAGTCGAACACTCAACTTTTTGTGCTTTATTCTTTACGTTCTAGCCGCGATCAAGGGCGCATGTTTTTCATCATTGGTCTCTGGATGATTGCCATCCAAGGTGAGTTACCACATTGCAGATAACAGTCCAAATTTCATGCTCGTGTACACAACGCTTTTTTCTATTTACCGTATCTGTAAGAATCTGAACTCGTAGATCACATTCAGACTTGGGCCGTGATGAAAACCTCAAATCTCACGAGACCTGACTTTTCTCCGTGTTGTTGGGGCGACGACGGTTTCCAGTGCAACTTCTTTGTGCTACGCAGACCACATCAGACACGGCTTAGTTAATATGCGTCCGGGACGCACCACATGGCTTTTACGTGTATACACTGATGCCGGTCTCTAAGAAGACCAAAAATGTGTATAACCGTTATTCGGTCCTATCTGATGATCAAAACTTCCGTTGCGCCATACGACCCTCAAAAAGAAGGTGCTAGGCTTTCATTATGGTTAGTTCAACGTATAATTCCGAGTTCTAAGCTCCGCATAGATTATGGCTATATTCTTCCTTTTCTCTTCGTCCAATAACTCATCTGGAATAACCATTTTACCTAAACATGCTAATGGTGAAATGTGACTTCATCCAGGTCGCACCGAGAAAAGGCACTACTGCGTCCCATCGATGTGCATGTGGATGAGAACAGATTCTGGCTGAGCCACATCGGCTTTCGGTAAACATCTCTTCTAACGCGTTTATTGACTTTACGACTTGGGAGAGGAAATTTTCACACTCGAACCTGCCGCTAACCTTGGGGTGGTGTCACTTACATCTTTTAGGCTGACCTATTTTTGCCTTGCTGGAACTGAGCACCACAATGCCGTCCATATTTCCTTTATAATATAAATTATGGCAGCTCTCCACTACTCGTTTTCCAAGCTTAACAGAGTCAGTAAAAGAGATTATTCGAGTCCTACCATATGAGATGTACAAACGACCGTCTCGGGCGTAGGACTTTATAGTCTGTAATGCTCAAAGTGCTACCCAGATTATGTCGGAACTCAAATTAATCAACGTGTTCGTTTGCGGTGCGATAAAATTATTATTGTTAAAATTAGGTCCAGTGACATCCCATCCTTCTGAGTCTTCGGTATTCTTTGGAATTTGGGTGTGAGTGAAGCAACCGACTAAGATGTGCGGTGTGTCCAATCATCGTCATAAAGAAGTATATCTAAATCAATGTAAACGTCGGCGTGCAGTTTATGTCTACCTTAAGGTATTTGTTTCCACGCAGTTCCCGATAACCAAGTAGTCATGGCACTGACTTCCATCAGGACGAGGCTCCGTACTCGGAACCAATGTACAATGCCTTGTGGGAAGCGAGAAGCACCGAACTAGTCAAACACAACCTCAGTTATCGAAATGATCTGTCGTGACCCAATACCTCCGGTAGCACATCTCACCTGAAAATTATCTTGGTTAGTATCGACCCCAGCGTGTATTACAGTGTGGGTAGTTGGAACATGGGCGAACTTAGCGCGACGTCCTTTCGCCAACGAGTACAGGAGGCTACCGCTGCAGATCACGTGGTACATGTGTGCTAGCCGTGGCCAAGGTTGCTGTTTTTTCGTTCTCCAACATGCCCTCTGTCTCTCTCACGAGATTTGAGGGTTTTTAACTTTAGTGGAAAATATGGGCTTCTGTTTTAGCATCCGCATCAGCTGATAGTCGGTCGGCCGGTGGCTGAGTGGTTTGCACGTCTGGCTTGCAGTCATAAGGTCACCGGTTCGAATCCGCGTAGTGGTGGGCGTCCTCTCAGTATACTTAGCCCACTCGCGACTGGTGGTGGTCACGCTGCAGCAGAGTGCCGTTACGGCATACAGCTGACACATTATTTTTTATTGATGGGTATAGTAAGTGGAACGTATAGACTCTTCCCATACGCTCTCGTGCAATGCACATTTGTTAACGGTACGATCCCGACCACGACACGGAGATTATAGCATTGGTTAACTTGGACACACATAGCTGTATATCTCTCTCCATTTCATTTCAGGCGGTTTAATTCGACGATTCAGCCCGGGAAACGAGTTGCGGTTGGCTTCTACGGTCAGTGTCTCTTGATGTGGATTGAATTTAACTTATATCATGTTCACCCTTCATAACCCACTCGGTAGATGCCATCAGCTCTGCTACAGAGCCAGCCAGCACTGCGCACAATAGAGTGTGAAACCATTCGACTTTTCACTACTCATAGCTGTTGTGACTTTTCAGATAGCCAACTGTATTCTTGTGAGCATCCGAGTATCCTTTATCCATATGACGCATTGCTCTTGCATTCTCAGGCTATACTCATCCTCGCATCAGCTAGCGCAGTCGTCGGGATTGCGCAACACCTCTGGGTGTTTCACTTGGGTTTGTTTCTGTGGTCGTTTGCAGCCGCCACATTCATTCCCACTTTTCAAGCCGCGATATCCTTTCTAGCTGGTCCCGATCGACAGGTGAGTTTTACGTCTTGTCCGACTAAATAGAGTTCTTACGCTTCTGTCTGTACTGTATCTGTCATATTGCGTATACATTTACCGAATCGCAAACCAGTGGAGTCAAGTTGCTTTTATTCTACCTAGCGACGGTCCCGAACAATACCGTCGACTTCACCATGCACCCTCACTGTGGTTGGGAAGCCACACTTCATTTGGAGTCCTCGTGCACAGGTTAAAACCACATTTTAATGCAGCCACAGTAGAGGACAGGATGGAAGTTGCCCATGATCCAAACCCATACCTGTCGTGATCAATAATCAATCGTAGATTGCGGATTTAAAAGCCGTGGCTTAATATGTCCCGCAGGATTGTGAGTCAGGGTTTTCAAAAGCAAGGGAATAGCAACTATGTAGAGTAAAACCGAAACCAGTGGACTCGTGGAGCAAATCGCAATATCCCTGCCCTTGGTTTTCCCGGATAAATGGACGTGGGTTGATGCAGTTTTGTTTCTGTTCACATGTCTCATATGATGTGGTGTAACGCGGTCGGCGCATTGTCAACACGATCTTTGAGCAGAGGTAATGTAGAAGCTGAGAGTGAATTCCATACGTGGCAAACACGTAGCGAGAAGAAATAACGTCTACCCTCCAGCCTGCTGTATTGCTCTACCAGTCTGAGATGGTGGCCTCTCAGTCTGTTGATATGCTGAGCTTTCGCAGTTAATAGCACTAGTGCTTTGGGTTGCTTAACATCTGGTAAACCATGATAAGGTCACCGCGCAAACGCATATAATGTCCACTGAAAACCCAAAATACTCAGATGTCGTTCGTAAGTAGTATAGCCACTTAACGTTTCGTTAACCCGACGTTAAGCTACTGCCGCTGCCACCGTTGCCATGCCTGAACCCCACATATTTCACGTGCGGGCAGAAAGCAGCTGGGGGCAAAGTAGATGGGTCGAAGTGACCAAAAGCACTTTTACGAGCCTATCTCTTGGATACTCTACTTGGTGCCAGTTCAGATTGCGCAAAGCAATGCACGTCTTCCTGGATCACCGACATTTTTTCAGAAGTACAGTGCTAGTTATACAGGTGATAATCGAATGGGTTACAATCTCGAGCAAATTTTGCTCTGAGTGTCGTACCAAATTTGTTAGAGCGTCCTGTAACCCATTACAGTTAAAACATTTAAATTAATGTAAACCCTCTGTCCATCTGGCTATTGTTATGTGAAATGCTTCGACACTGACGTTGTCCACCCGGCGGTATATTCGTCCGCTTTTAATTTTCAAGGGGAGATAGCGTAACTGGGATCCGAAACAGTGACCTCATAATTTGCGTTTCCTTTCTTATCACTATATTCTGTCACTAGCATTTGTGACAACGGCAGATACCGCTGAACTGTGGTCATTTGGCTCGAGCCAAAACCACCGCACGGTTGCGATCAAACTCATTATATGCATCGCTTCGTAGGTCACATGCATGACGGATGATTCGGTCGGAGTTGATAAGCATATTAGCCTTTCAGAAAAGCCCAGTAATTGCTTAAAAATTCATTTGCAAGCCAGACAAGACTAGTTCCGGTCAGATAACTGCTTCAGATCAGTGGAACTCCGAACGGCCGTTTCAACTATGAACAGTCGAGCACAATCCACATGCTGCGTGGTAATCATGTTTTCGCCAATTACTTCGTTCTTCTTACGATGTTGTTGGCCCTGAGGTATAAACTTCAAGTTCTCAAAAACTACCAGTTTTTGAGAACTAGCTCGCCCCACAAAACAGATCAGCCATCGCGGTTAGAACCTTGCGCTCCAGTTTGTCGACTATCTTATCAGTATATGCACGATCTTGGGGTAAACACACACTGAAAAGTTGCTGTGGCATCCTATACGGGCATTCAATACCAGCACCGTTATTAGGTCATCTTGGCTCAAAGAAAGGACTTTGATATCGGGAACGTAGATTTAAAGGATCACTCGTTTTAAGCTACTATGTGACAGAACAGTTGTTATCCACGCTGGATCAAACCGCTGTTCTAAGGAACCTAAAATCCCCTTGGTTTGTGTCAGGAACTGTTTGGGGAACTGAATTAACTGGTTGCTACTCACACTGTATTTGCGTCGTGATGGTGCTGATGTGATTATTCCAATTATTTTACCTGCGCTTAACTGAAACCCAAAAACGCCGCATATGCTCCAGGGCTGGACTCATATTTTAAGATGCCATTGGACTTTGACCTCTGACGGAGCACCTTGAGTGGTTACTTGCACTCATGTCTAGTTTATTTTGGTACAAAAACGAGTTAAAACACTGTTCTGATTTTTCATGGAGCGATGTTAATGTACTTTACCACTGTCTTGCTTGACACGATTTATCCACTCCCGGCTTTTTGCTTCTTTTTACCCCTCAGGGACATGTGCTTGGAGTCTTTCGGTCGTTGAATGCCTTGGCTCGTGCCATAGGACCGGCGCTGTTCTCCCTACTGTTTTGGGCCACCGGTTCCATTTGTTCTTACGTGATCGCAGCCTGCCCACTAGTTCTCTTGTGGCTCTATTTTAGACATACAAATAGGGCTTTCGCGCGCGTACACACGCAGTAATGCGTTTGTATCCAGTTTACTTTATTTGCTCGCCTATAAAAGTTGACTTGCGCTCACGAGTATTTTTTTCTTCTACCACCGAGTAATTCGTTTTAAGCTCCCTGCAGAAGGTGAATCGGGTAGATAGGAGTTGGGCCTTAGTCGTTATCGACTATACCTGTCAATAATCAAACAGCTCATCCGTGTTCAATAAAGTTAAGCCGGTGTAATTTCTGCGACTGTAGCGCAATATCTCTCAGGTACACACCATAGTGTTCGGTTGTCAATTGACTGTTACAAGAATCGGTCATACTACTAGGACCGGGTAATGTGTTCGAACACTATTGTATCAGTCAACCAGGTTGTCACTATTCAGTAGTGTTTTCCGGGCCGAAATCCCAATTACAGTAATTTCGCTATGCATATTACGCACAGCTGTGGGTGGATGGAACTAAAATAACGAGGCAAAGGTGAATGCTGCGAGCTGATCATGGGGACGACTAGGACACTGACAGAACTGAAAACTAATCTGCACTGAATATCAAGGTGTTGGTGGCACCAGGATTTGACAGACGGGTGGCAGAATAGTAACCTTTAAATTGTGAGTAATGCATACTCATCTGCGAACGGTCCTTATCAAGACAGGTGGACTGATAGATGACTTCCTAATGAGTCTAATTTCAAGAGGGCCAACGGTACATATATATATATATATATATATATATATATATATATATGTGGTTGTCGACATCCGGTTTCGGATTTGTCTGTCACTGTGGCCAACCACAGGACGCCTGCGCCTACAGATGGACCATGGATGGCTTGCGCTGCACCACCCACAGCTCCATCCACCCACCCCATATCCAGTGTAAACCCGAAGGAATAAGACCGGGAGGCATGTGGATGGGAGCCACGTTTCATCAACGGAACCGTCCCACACTCCTTCAAAGGTAAACACAAACACGCTGTATTTGGGAATCAAGCGCACACAAGGTGGTGGCTGGACTGTAGTCCGCTCCACACTGAGTGCATGGAACCACTCTTTGATCCTAACACGGCCATAAGGCCCGTGCACCCCGTCCTCTCCAGTAACGACTAACTGTCTCCTAGAGCCAGTATGGACGAGGTAGTGGGTAATAGACAGGTAGGCACCTTGTCAACATGCACATCAAGCGCAGCCACACCGGGGATGTCAAGCAACAGCCAATCACTTGAAACGACAAGATGAAATAAAATAAATCTGATAATGCATACAGATACGGAGACATAACTCTTCACTAAATGAGCGTAAAAAATGATTACGAACGAATCCGCGATAAGTTCAAGAGATCAGAAAATATATTTTACGGAAATGCCACAAACGTGAAAATGTTATCGAAATTAACTACAATTAGCTTCAGCAACGTGTGCAAGTTTATAGAAGATAGTACAGGTGGACAATAATATGAGAAAGAAAAGCATTAGGACAAAATTGAAAACCCGCCACTTGAAATAAAGAGACTTAGCGTGCAAACACACAGTTAGTAAATCGAAGGCAGCGTATCTACAAACGCTGCGCCGGCTCTGTCTACGTTCTCTTCTGGACCCGTCGTCGCTTCGGTTGCGGTCCTCAGTGGCCTCGCTCATGGCTCACTAGGCCTGCCTGACTCAGGCACTCGCGACCGCATGTGCTACAGCACCATGCACTCGTTGTCGATGAACTACAATCCATCGGTGCTTGCCGCTTCCGAACCTGCCGCTTCTTCTCTGCATGCATGACGTCTTTCTCCCGCACTTCAGCAACTGCCTTCGTGATCAGGTCGCGCATGCACGCCGATCAACCGCCTTCTAATCGCATGACCTGCAATCAAGATTAGAACGTAAAAGGCTCACTTTAATCATGTCCTGAAAAGGCAACTTTGGTTTACACACATGCCGCTTCCAAATACTCAGCTGACCATACAATAGTTGTTTCGGTATCCGCGTCGAATCCATACGGCTCACATGACCGAGCAACCTCAGATGTCACAGCAAGAGTATGCAGTCCACTGCATACATTCCACTTCGGTGCAACACTTCCGTGTCAGCAACTCTGTCGCCCCATCCGATGCGCATAATCCGCCGCAAACACTGTTGATGGAACCGCTCGAGATATTGAACATCCCGCCGCTACATCGTCCACGTTTCACTGCCGTATAGAAGAATGGACAGCACCATGGATTTGTACACTATCAGCTTCGTGCCAATGGTAAGTTTATGGTTGTTCCACACTCGGTACTCTAGCTTCCCGAATGCCGCCGCTACCTTCGAGACGCGGATACGCAGCTCACTGTGTAGCTGCTGATCAGTCGACATCACACTCCCAAGGTAGCAGAAGCGGGAAGTGGTTTCCAATACTTCAGCACCAATGCTGATTTGCGGCAATATTAAAGCTTGCACCTCCGGTGAAGGCTGAAAGGGACAGGCAGTTTGTTTTTGTTGATGGTGAGTCTGAATTTGGCCGCTGTGGAAGCCAGAGCACTAGTCATGTGCTGCAACGCTTCCGCGCTGTGTGCAGACAACGCACAGTCGTCAGCAACATACGGATAATTGTTTCACAGACTATTGTGTTCGCACCGAAACGACGGATGTTCAGCAACCCACCATCAATACGGTGCTCCATACGAATGCCGTAAGCACAAGCGGCATCAAAAGCACAAGACATCATAGTATGAAGATAGATGTTAAACAGGGCAGGAGCTAAGACACAGCCTTGCTTCACACCAGAGACAACTGCAAAGTCATCCGAGGTCAGTCCACTCGGCTGCACCTTCATCCGCATACCACTGTGCAGACATTCAATTAAACTTACAAACTTACGCGGGCAGCCAAACTTACCTAACACCAGCCACCATGTTTCGCTGTTCACCGTATCAATTGCCTTGGTGAAATCAACAAACAGCGAGTATGAAGGCTGGTGTCATTCTCTGCACTTCTCCTGCAGCTGACTAGCCGCAGATACCATATCTATAGTACTGCGACCCGAACGGAATCCACACTGCTCTACCGCCACGTTAGGTTCCCCAACCTGACTGATGGGGCAGTTAAGCAGGATTCGGGCTATCACCTTGCCCGCACAGCTCAGCAAGTCGATGCCACGATAATTCGTGCAACGTTGCATGCTCCCTTTGCCCTTGTACAGTGGTAGCACAAAGGCATCCTTCAACTCAGGAGGCACCTCCTCCTCAATCCATACACGTTGCACCAAGTGGTGCAGCGCAGTCAACAACGCGGGTCCGCCGTGTTTCAATACTTCAGGCGGGATCCCGTCTGCCCCGGTACACTTGCCGTTTCGCAGCTGAGCAAGTGCTCTCTGCGTCTCATCCAGTGTCGGCGTGTCCGCCAGATTCGCCTTCACATCGTGCTGCTTGAGGTCGTTCAATGTAGGCCAGTCGATCTCTGAACGGTTGTTCAAGAGACAGTCAAAGTGTTTTTGCCAGATCTGCATTATGTCTGCAGTCTGTGTGCAGGTAGTGCCTGAGCTACCATCGATCAGCGTCCTCAGCGGCTCCAACCTCGGTCCATACACCGCCTTCAAAGAGTCAAAGAATTCCTTGTGTTTGCGGCGTACGGCGTAGCATTCCATCTGCTTCGCCTTCTCCGTCCACCATGCATTTTTAATGCGACGGAGCTCTCGGGTCAGTCGCCTTGGAAGTTTGCGAAACTGACTACTCTTTCCCAAGTCACTGGGGTCTGCAACATGTGCTGCAAATGCAGCATTCTTCTCCGACACCAATGCGCCAATCGTCGCATTGTTCTCATCAAACCAATCAGGCCGCTTACAGTTTGCGCGCCCGATGGTCTCCTCGGCAGCAGCTGTCACCTGGTCGCGAATGTGGTGCCACAGGTCGCCCACTGTGGCTATGCAGTCCACATCACACAGGCGTGCAGCCATCGCATTCTCCAGCTCAGTACGTTTCGCCACAGTACCGAGGGAGAGAATGTTAAATTTACGCCGATTCACGGCGGGCGTGCAATACATCGATTTACGAAAATATATGTACAGTTTGGTCCGAACCAACTTATGATCAGTGCCACACTCAGCTCCATGCAATACACGTGTCATGCGCACTTCACGCATATCACGCTGACGTACGATGACATAGTCGAGCAGGTGAGCGTGACCACTCCGTGGGTGCGTCCAAGTTGCTATATCACTGGCACTCAGTGCAAACCGAGTGTTCGTGATCGTCAGGTCGTAAGTGGCACACAGTGAGAGCAGCCTGTCACCGTTCGCATTCGCTGAACCAATGCCATGCGGACCGATGACATCTGTCCACACCGATGCATCACGCCCAACGCGCGCGTTGAAACCACCCAGCAGAAATAGTCGGTCGCTCCTCGGCACAGACCGTATCACGGAGGATAGCTGAGTGTAGAATTGATCACGTGTGTCGTCAGGATAACACATGGTCGGACCGTACGTGCTTATAAAGGTGGCAAACTCACCTCTTCCGAGTCGTATGCGAGCAGTCATCAATCGCGCGCTGATGCCTGTTGGTTCACCCATGAGCTGGCCATGGAGGCGATCGGATATTGCAAATCCGACCCCATGTTCACGTGGTGCTGAGGCGGCGTTGCGCACCCAGTAGAATGTGTAGCCAGCACCTGCTTCATGCAACTTACCTTGCTCAGCGAGCCGAGTTTCACTGAGCGCCGCAATATCGATGTTGTAGCGCGCCAGTACCATCGCGACGAGTGCAGTGCGTCGCTCGGGGCGCTCACTGAAGTTCCGGTCCAGTAGTGTGCGCACGTTCCAGCACCCGATGTTGAGTGCTTTGCGCGCAGGCATACGATTGCATTGGTGGGCAATCGCACGCGAGGTGGCGGTTGTGCTTCGGAGGTTTGCTTGAAGGACTCCACCCGGAGCCTTTGGCTCAATAGCCTGACCCACAAGGCAGTGGGGAGCAGATCCAGATCGGGAATGTGATTGCAGAGACAGATTGGGATCTGCTTGACGGCCGTCACACTCAGCCTTTGAGGTACTGGAACGTTTCATACATGTTTTGCGACCGTAGTAGCATACACCTGCGACCACAGCCAGACGCAGTTTTGTTTT